TATATATATATATATATATTATTTTTATTTTATTTTTGTAAAGAAATTAATATGTTTTAGTATTAAAAGGTGGCATTAAAGCCATTAGTAATGTTACAAAATATTTATATTTCAAATAAAAGTTGTTCTTTTGAACTTTTCTACTTATTAAAGAATTCTGGGGGGAAAAATGTGTTAACATTGATAATAATTAGAAATGTTTCTTTAGCATCAGTTCAGTATATTAAAATAATTTCTGAAGGATCTTGGACATTAAAGACTGGAAATATTTTTTGAAATACATTAAAATGGAAAACAGATATTTTAAATTTTTCATAAAATTACTGTTTTACTATATTTTTGATCAAATAAATTCTGTCTGCAACAAGATCTGACTCGAATCATACCATCGCAAATCCAGACATTGTTACTTCCCTCATGAACGTACCAAAGAAACCTAGGGCTGATGTCAATTTTTTTTGTCACATATGAAGACTTTGACAATGACTCGTGTGAACCACTTTTATGATCATTATATGGTGTTTCTTTGTCATTTGTGGAGCATTGAGCACCAGTCTTCATTCACTTTCATTATATTAAAAAGAATGTCTAGCATATTCTTCAGTTTCACCAAACCCCATCTTTTGTGTTCCACTGAAGAAAGAAAGAAACTCTCACAGGTATGACAGAACATGAGGGTGAATAAATCATAACAGCACAGTCATTTTTGGGTGAGCCGATCCTTGAAAATAATATAAAGAGCAGAAGCAGCCAAACAGAGGACTGAAAGACACTGCTGATAAACTTCTCTTTTCTCTTTCCCCCAGTGGTAAAATTGTTGTAGATGACAAAAGTAAAGCGCCGGAGACGGAGGTAAACAACACCCCGGCGGAGGTGAAGACAGTCCCTAATGAAGCCCCCCAGACGAACGGCAACGAGAGCAAAGCATGATCCGGAATCGGCGAGCGCAGACAGACAGCACCACACCACCACCATCACATCTCAAACACAAGGGTCTCTTTCTTCAGTGTCTTTGAGTTCGCAGAACAAAGCACGTCTGTAGATGTATAGAGCGCCTAAAGAGCTCGCGCACATGCCTTTTATTTTGTACTTTTCGATTGTTTTTACTATTGAAATATTTCATTTCTTTCATCAACGCACGAAGGAAAGATTCTTTACCTCTAGCGCAGTCTCCTTGACCTCTGTAAGATCAGTGTCTTTCAAATACACTCAATGTCTTTCGAGGAAGTTCAGTATGAGAAATACAGTAGATTTTGCCGTCACACATTCAGCCCACAGTGCCGTTTCAATTATGTCCCGTTTTATTACATGCAGTATTGCCATTATTATTGTCTGCCACATATGAATTTTTGGGGAACATTTTTTATGTTTTGTGTTTAAATAATGTACAAAAGCAACTGCCTTTTTATTTTATTTCTCACATTATTTTTTGGGAGTTAGCAATAGATTTTTAGCATGCTTGCTTTGCAGAATTATTTTTCTCTGTCTAATTTGTTTGTTTGTTTTATCCCAGCCCTAAGTGTTTACAGCATTTTACAATGATATCCCTCATTAACACGCCGTTTGCTTCTCTTGCAAACCCGACACAAACGATCACGCAGGGTAGAGGTCTGAACTAGCAGTTAGGGTTATACTATACAAAACACCACTACTACTTGTTTTTCCCGTTTTATATTTTCTTTTCTATTACAACACATCCCATTTCCCTTGAACCTTAAGAGTTTCTTCTTTACTTCAGTTCTTTAACAGAAGATTGAGATTCAAAGAGGTCTCCCGCAGTGATCCTCGCTTAAAAACCTCCCGTAAATCCTTTAAAAAAAACAACTTGGAGCTCTTAGATATGGATCGGACGGCGCGTTGAGAGAATACAGTTCAAGCGTCGCTGTTGCACTTGTGGCCTAACGAAAACATCAGGTGCACACGTGTGCGTAACGCTCATGGGACGTCCCATATGATGTCTGCCTGTTGCTCCATTGCCCATATAATTGATAGATGTTGCATTAAAATGAAGCCCTGCCTCTTTGATACTGATAAAAATGCAAATGTTTGTCAGTTTTTCATGTCTTCAATGGCCAAATTATTGTTTTACTTTTTATTTAAGCCATAGTACACCGGTGTGGAGCGTAGCATAAAGAATATTCAGCCTGACTTTTTTTTGTACAGTGTTTCTCATTCTTTAGGCTGCAAGCTTGTGCACTGTGAATGCGTGAAAATCCTAGTGTGAATACAGTGTGTTCTTTGTACTAGAATTACAAAAGAGTTTCCATAGGTTGTGAAAGCAGTAGCTGTTAGTTTAAACAATGTTCATCATGATAAGAAAAAAAAAAAAATGACGGCAGCAGAAGTGAAATACAGACACAAAAGGAGTTGGTGCCTTCAATATAACCATCCTCTCGTATGCAGGCCTGCGGTCTGGATGGGCCGCAGTGACGCTACTGTCTCTGTGACAACATACCCCGATGCTGTCAGATGGTCCAGATCTGTAAACTGTGAAAATAATAGTTTTGTTTCTTGATCAAATGTGACGTCACTTGGTCTTTTGGGTCTGAGGGTGTTAATGGATCGTGGTTTTCTTAAAACTTGAGTTCTTAAAATCTCGACAACATGCCTCTATTTAACTGATGCAAAATAAGACGTATATATATATATATACATATATAAATATAAATATATTCACACAGAAAACTGTCTCGATGCATTTCGTCTCATAGGCCCCAGGGTTGCCTGCTCACCCGCCATTTAATTACAAAATCTCTTGTTCATCCCGTTTGGTCAAATGCCTTGTCAGTGACATCTATTTTTAAACCTGAAATAAGCATGCGATGTATTCTAAACTAGATGTCATTGGTGTTAAGGTTACGAATTGAATTGCTAAATAACTGAAAATGTCAAAGGCTTGTACATTTATCTGAATGTCAGTGAACTTTTGTCATTCATACGTTCACTGTTGTCACTTTTGCTTTTACAAGACAAACATGAAGTGCTTTCATGGAGATAACTTTCATTATTAAGTCTTTAAACATTATGCTACTTGAATGTACGTTTGTGTTCTGTTAAGCATTTGTAATGTAGTCATATTAATAATGAAAGTTATTTTTAAAGTGTTTCCAGCAGGATTCTGGTCTAATAAGCATCTGAGAGGCTTGTAGAAACTGTACCGGGAGGCATACAAGCTCTTGTGATCTCTCTGAAAAACAAGCTTTTGATTCATACTGCCATTTAATGTGGGACCAATTTGTTTGTACACAGTTTACCACGCATCCGTGCCATCATGCCACTTTAAGGACAAATGTCTGTTCAAACGATTGTTTCCAAAGCATATAAGGCTCGTCTTCTGAGCAGATTAAGCCTGTTTGGGGTTTAATGGTTTCTCTCATCATTTCATTCTCATCTCAGACCTTTATAAGACATCTGTCACTTCATACCATATGAAGTGAGGCCCTTCTCACAGCTGTATACAGATTTTTACAGATCAAATGTCACTTTCACTGCCACTGCTGTAAATACTAACCGACAACAAAATCTGACTTCATTCTGTCAAAAAATTCTTGTGTTCAATAAAATGAGAAAAATATTTTCTGTCTCCACTGTATCTTTTCACATGCACATCTGTTCTACACAAGATCTTGGCTGTTGAAACTTCAAGACATAATAAGACACTATCTGCAGTGTTTAAGCTTGTTTTTCTTTTAAAAATATATATATATATAATTAATTTTAACTTGACAGAAGAGGCACTTATCATTTGAAATTTATGTCAACACTTTAGTCATGCAACAGTATTATTTTAGTATTTATATGATTATAGTATTTATTGATATTGTGAATTAGCTTTTATTTTTATATTTTCAGTTTTGAATTTTAGTAATTGTATGTGCTTTTTTCTAGTTATTTCTAGTCATTTCAGTACTTCTGCTTCAACCTTTTATCAAATATTATACAGCTTTATTTCAATTAATGAATACAATTTTAATAGCATTAGTTTTAGTTTACAATTGTTTTAGTTAACAATAGCAACACTGCCATGAATTAGTGTGTGTGTGTGTGTGTGTGTAGATAGATAGACAGATAGATAGAGACTTGTAAAAAAAAAGGGGGTGAAAATTTTGATTTTATTTATGTATTTATTTTTCATGTTTCAGGAATTGTTTTGTGGTTTGTACATTTTACTGTTGTTTTGATTTGTCTCAAAAATAAAAACCTAGAAGCCTAGATGGTTTATTGTCGGGTTTTGTTGACTGCTTATCCCAAATAGTGTGACTTTTACTGGGGCATGTTGTCACAAAGTACAACATGTTTAATGAACTGTCTTTTTCCCGGGCAACAGTGAAAATATTTATTAGTTGTTGTTTTTTATGTACGAGTCTATACACATATTGACCATCTGTGCTTGACCTTAGGATAGAACTTATGAAATATTACTATTGTATTCAGGTATACCACAAAAATAAGTTATAAAATAAGTTATGACTATTTTAGAAGATGTTGCAATTCCATTGCATAAGAGAGGCGCGTGCTGCGGACGCGCACCATCAACACCAGATGGCGCACAAGACCACAATCCATATTACGTCGCGTTTGCTACGTTTAGAGACGCTACGGATTCATTCTTGACTTGATAACTGTAGCGTAACTGTTAATTACCTGCTGCCAAAGCAACTCATGATTTGCATTGTGCATTTGGGAAGCCAAATTAAATGTCCCGTATTTCTCAGTCATGACGGTGGTAAGAACCAAAGATGTATTTCTAGTTTTCTCTGATAATCTGGTGACTAAATAAAAATGTAATTTCATGAGGAACAACGCTTTTTATGTATTAGTATTGTGAAATTCAACGGTTCACAGCTCTTTTGGGTTGCATTGAGCAGCTGCACTTACACGTTGTTGTCCACTGGGTGGCAGTAAAGCACCGCCCTAAATGATGTGTCGCTGACAGCGGTTGTTGACTCGCAACAGGCCAATGTAGGCTAATTAAAAACATACAAAGGCAGCGTTTTTATACATATTTTTCTTTTTACCATAGTGGTATTGTTACCATATTGGAACGACAGATTTTTTTCAACCTTGTAGCCAGAGAAAATGTGACAGCAGAATAATAGGCATTGGATGTAACAGCAGTTTCCTCTGCAGTTAATCCAGAAATTTTATTCAGGTGCTTCCAATTTAAAATCGCTTTGATTAGTGGCCTGGTTATGTAACAGAGAAAGTTTGAGACAAGAGTCCAAGATTCAAAATAGTTTGTCACAAACGTTTTGCATTTATCATGCTGTATACTTCGCTATATCAAACATTTCAGCTTTTATATGTCATTAACAATTTTTACTACTTGGTTTTTCGTTCCTAAGGTACTTCATTTAGCACATGTGCTCACAAATCGAGCTCCTCTGTGACTCATGAGCTTCTGAGTTCCTAAAGGCCTGGTCATCATGGACAAAAGAGCTGGAGAAGATGTTGGAAATGCTGTCTGTATATTGTAGGTTTGATCAACACCTGAAATGAGTCCTTCTCAAAATATGGTGACATATTTTGTCTCCTTACTTTTCAGTGATTTGAAAGAGCCTAAAGTAACCCCATATAAAAGATATCACTATATAACGTTTTGTTTTATTATACCTTTGCATTTGATTAAATAGGCTAATATGATACATAGTTTGGCTATGTTTATTATAATACATTTTTTAATTATCAGAATTTGCAGAAAAATTTATTTTAGTCTGATTAATAAAGATTAATAAAGTTTTCAGATGTTCCTGGAAAATTAATCTATTTTGAGAATTCGTTCATAAATGACCATTGCTTTATATATGAATAAAGTAAAATAAAATGCAAAGTCGTTGTACTGATTAAGAATTCAATGAAAAAGCCTAAAAGTCAACATATTTTCAGAATGACTCACATCTGAATCTGAGTTGGATTTTAAAGCTGGGTTAATTACCATTAACCTATGTAAATGATCCTGGCAGGTTCCGCTGAATGTTGTATTATGGAAGCAGACTCCACAGGGAGCAGAGACCCCATCGATCAGGTACTGATCTGTGTGTCTGAAACCTGCACAGGTTGTCACTACCTAAATCACCAGTGCAACATTAGCCATTGAATATTTGGGTATTTGCAATGGAAGTGTGTGGCTTCAGAGCTCATATCTGAGACCTGTTCATACTTCTCTGAACTATGCCAATATGCCCAAAAAGTCCTTTGTCATACCAGAACTTTTCTGCCTGATTTGGTGAAGAAAGCAAAAATGGTGTGGAAGATGCTCTCCTTGTCCTGTGGGATTGTGCAGGGTTTGGGGTTCCTGTGCCACGTGCAGTTCCCTCGACCTTCTGATACCTGCAGACAAACAGAAAGTACGAAAATGAGCAAATCTCACAGTTCCCTCTCAGCAAAATAGCACCAGATTATTTATTATATATTTGCTGTTTTCATTTTAATTTCAGTTAAAAGTTTTAAGAATTTTGTTGTGTGTTTTTGTCATTTTTAATTTCAGTTTTATTTTAGTACATCAAGCTAAACTAAATCAAAATGAGAATGTTGCCTCCAGAGGAGGCAGATGAAACTTTTTTTTTTTTTTTTTTTGAGTTTATAGATTCTCTCCAATTTTGTATGTGTTTCACATGTTGTAAATCAAAGCAAGTTAAATTACATAGTTAGGAACAACCTATTCTGGAAGAACTTGTTTGAAGTGAGGCAGGCTTATGTTACAGCAGCTCTTCTGGTCCTGGGTCACCACTGGGTCATGGAATTACTAAACCTTTGCTTTAACCATTAATTCTGATGAAACCGTTTTCAATTAGAAATATTTCTATCAATATTCTCTCATTAAACAATAGTCATGCATATTTTGTATATGATGTTTTATTGCCCTTACTTTGATTTGCAAATTGATTTGACAAATTATGAATGATTTAACTAAGCTTTACAAATGATTGCGCAAAGAAAACTATACAATGAATGTGCTTTCTCGCATGCCAGCTGAAACCCCTGAGCTGCTCATAAATCAATATACCAGCTTGTTGCTTTTTGCCATCCTACATAAACATGTACAAACATTTTACATTTATCCGTCATTTGCAACAGCTTAAACAAGCTCTGCTTTCCACATTACTGTGCTACTGCCTTTGCTAAATCAAGATCTTAGTTTATTTATGGTTTAAGCATTTTGATTTCATCCTTGGAGGCAGCTGCCCTCCAATGTCTCAAGTTAATTTGGTTACTGTAGTTTTTATTCTGTTGGATATCATTTTATTGAATCATTAGATTTTCACTATGTTTTTAAGGATATATATATCATATTTTAGTATAATCAGTATGCATGCTTGTTATTTTTATTT